TATTATATTTCTATAGATAATATTATTAATAAATAATGCCGATAATAATATTAATATATTATTATTTAAATATTTTAAAATTATATAACTATTAACCTATTAAAGTTATAGAAATTATAAATTTCATTCATATATTAATAACATATTTACTATTACTAACTAAATAATTTTTTATATATTTTTAGTATTAATAGTATTAGTGATAAAATAATATTAATATTAAAATATTTATAGGTAAAATAATAATTTAATAAATATAAATTAGTATATTTATACTTCTTTTTGAAGGGATATATTAATATATTTTTAAAATGTAAATACATGACATATGATATAAATGTATTAAAAAAACAATTGAAAATATATTATATAATCCCTTTAGAGACATCCGTTGAAATTGAAATTATACAATTATTAGAAATAAACATAAACTTCTCTATTAAAATATGCATTTTAGATACTTGATACATATATTAGAGGGCGTAAAAAAACATTCAATCTGAGAATTTTTTACGTAAATAATATTTTTTTTAAAAAAATTACAAAAGTAACATCTGTGCAACTTTATTTACTCAACTAGAACCAATCACTGTTCATGCTCAGAATTCGGTTCCCGGGAACCGAATTCTGAGCTTCAATATTTTTTTCCTTTTTTTTTGTGCTCAGAATTCGGTTCCCGGGAACCGAATTCTGAGTTGTTTTAATTTTTTATTTTTTTTTTTTGCGTTTGAGGCCCAGTTTGGGCGAATCTAGGAAGTGGAACAGGTCGTTCCGGAAGCAGAACGGCCCGTTCTGCTTAAACACAGAGTGTTATTTTTGAAATTGGAACGGGTGCAGAACGGGCCGTTCCAATTTCAAAAATAACACTCTATTTGTTTAATCAGAACGGGCCGTTCTGCTTTCGGAATGGTCCGTTCCACTTCCAAAAAACGCAAAAAAAATTAAAAACAACTCAGAATTCGGTTCCCCGGGAACCGAATTCTAAGCACAAAAAAAAAATTGAAACTCAGAATTCGGTTCGCGGGGAACCGAATTCTGAGTATGAACAGTGATTGGTTCTAGTTGAGTAAATAATGTTGTACAGATGTTACTTTTGTAATTTTTTTTAAAAAAATTATTATTTATGTAAAAAATTCTCAATCTGATCGAAAACAATTGAAAACCGATGCAATCCACATTATAAAATTCAACCCGTTTAGAAAAAATCTTAAACAATCGGTTAACTATTTGGATTTTACAAAACGAATCAGTTCATTTGATATTTAGAAAAAACATATCCATATATTTAGAGCAACAAACTCCCCAAATAAAAAAAAAATCATTCTATTTTCAAAAAAATTGAACCAATTAACTTCATTAAAAATTAATTTAATTAACCGATCTATTTTATAAAAACAAATTTTAGTAAAATTTTCAAAAATTCAATCAATAAACAGCCTTTATTTCTCTCTCTCTATATACATATATATATATAAAGGAAGTTATAATTACACCGGTATAATTTTTACTAAATATTACACTACTCCATAACTTTATACTAAATATAAATTTTAAAAATTCAACCGTTAAATTGAAAGTTCTTTACTCTTATCATTTATATAAAATCTTATATTAATCAAAGATAATTTGAGACCTTATAAGCATAGTAGTCAATAGCGGACAGAGCGGCGCTCTGGAGCGGAGCGGCCTGACCCCGCAATCTCGCTGCTGTCGCGTGGTGGATTTGTGTAGCGGTCGGAGCGGCCGTGTCGGAGGCGGAGCGGAGCGGCAGAAATCGCGGAATCGCGGCGCGATTTCGACTTACCCTTCATTAAGGGTAAGTCAGTCTTTTCAATGGGTTTTTTTTGCCCTAATGCTCCCTTTCCCTCTCGCGATTTCAATTCTCGCAGTCCTCTCGTCTCTCTCTCGCAGATTGCTTCTTCTTCTTTGGCGATCGTGCGTGCAGTCCTCCATTTTGGCAACGAACTCCGGCTCCGACACATCTCCAACTCCGACGCGCCTCCAGCTCTGACGCACCTCCAACTCCGACGCACCTCCAACTCCGACGCGCCTCCAGCTCTGACGTGCCTCCAGCTCCGACGTGCCTCCGTCCGCTTAGTTTGTCTTCTATTCTCCTTCGTCTTCTATTCTCCTTCGACTCTTCATGCAACATTGCAACATTTTTTTTTTAATTTTTTATTAAATTATTTCAGCTGATTTTATTTTTAATTTTTGATTAAATTTAATTCAAAAAATTTTATTTTTAATTTCTGATTAAATTTAATTCAACAAAATTTATTTTTAATTTTTGATTAAATTTAATTCAGCAAATTTTATTTTTAATTTTTGATTAAATTTAATTCAGAAAATTTTATTTTTAATTTCTGATTAAATTTAATTCAGCTAATTTTATTTTTAATTTCTTATTAAATTTAATTCAGAAAATTTTATTTTTAATTTCTGATTAAATTTAACTCAGATGATTTTATTTTTAATTTCTAATTAAATTTAATTCAGCAAATTTTATTTTTAATTTCTGATTAAATTTAATTCAATTGATTTTATTTTTAATTTCTGATTAAATTTAATTCATAAAATTTTATTTTTAATTTTTTGATTAAATTTAATTTAGCGGATTTTTTTTATTAAATATAATTCAACAATTTTTTTAATTTTTTTTATTAATTCAACTTCTTTTCTATTTCTATTTCAGCAGCTTATTTTTTTTAATTGTAACAGCCCAGCAACCCGCATGTGGATATTGTCCGCTTTGGCCGCAGCCCTCACGGTTTTGCTTCTGACAATGGCACGCATGCCACCCCAAAATGCGTCCACACAAGGAAGGTATCCACACCCATATATATGGCATGCTTCGTTCTCCTTCCTAACCGATGTGGGACTTCACAAT